TTTTATTTATTTAATAAATAATTCTGAAACTCTACGAAGAAATCATAATTACTTCGTCCATAAACTAAAATGAAAAAACTATTTAAAACAATTAAAACAAAAATGCAGTAAAAGACTGAACCTTTTAAGAATTGTTTCATATCAAAGGTGGGGAGCAGACCGAAAAGTAATGCAAATTAAATAGAAAATCCCATTAATTAAAACTGAAATAAGATTTTTAAAAAATGCTTATCAAAGTCCCTCCAGAGGAAATTAAATTTATATTCAATGAAATAATCGAAAACTTTTTTTCCAATCATGAAATAATTTTCTCAAATAGACCTAAGTCAAAAAAAGGAGATGGATGTTGTATGGAGACACAAATGAGTAGTGTTGAGCAAAATCGGTCTTTGTGTTGCACTTTGCAATACCAAGAACAAGGCCGCCTAACTGTTGCAAGACCAAGACCCGGACTGGTACAAGAAAATCGATTTTTTAAACAAGAATTAAGGCAAAATCGTTACTAATACTTGACAATCTTAGTTACTTCATGTAAATAATTAGTGCAACCAATATACTTTTGCATTTAACTCCTCTAATTTTCCGTTCGGGCTTAGTTAGGTTTTTCCTATCTAAAAAAATACAGTAATATTCTATAGTAATAAGCTAATAAGTAACGGCAAGACTGTTGCGAGATTCTTACGCAAGACCAAGACCATGCATTTGAGCAACACTACAAATGAGTAAAAAATATATAAATAAAATAACGAGAATTCTTTTTTCACTAGTGAAACCTGGGCAATTTAAAAAACTTTGGATACGTAATCCATAACAAAATTACAAAATCAATAGTTTTGACGGACTCATTACCCGTTATTAAGGGATTGCAAAATATATGGACAAACAACGAATAGCATCAAAATATTCAAGTCATGAACTTAAAAAAATGATCTGGAAATAACATTGCTGTGGGTCCCTTCACGTTTAGAAATAATTGGGAATAAAAGAGCTGATGAAGGAGCAAAGGAAGCAGGGAGAACCTCTGATTATCTTTAATTCTACATTTCTTAATGAATGGACACTAGAAATTACAAGCAAGATGAAATTTGGAAAGAAATGTGAGAATGGGTGTCATTCAATCACCTCAACCTCTACAAAGAGAACAATATTGCTTGGATTACTTTGAAAAACCTCAAAGAAATGCTCTATAATTAGCAGACTGAGAATTAGATACATTAAACTAACACATCTACACCAGCATCTAGGGCTGCACAGACCAACATTTCAAACATACATGTGACAATGAATACTTCACAGTGCAACACTTTTTCCGATGCCATAAATAGCGAAAAGAACAAATCAAATTAAAAATTGTTGTTAACACTATCATTGTTCTTTCTATATGGCTCTTGAGATCAGTGTGTTTCATACCTTCCTACCGACAGCTTTCCTACGAGTATGTTGAACATTTATTTTATTTTATCTTTATTTTTAAATAAAGATATAGAATTTTAGATTATAGAATTTTTCTAAGGTATGTATGTTACTGGTACCGACTCCCTTCCCATTACTAGAACAACTGAATTTATTAATGTCTATCACTATTGCAAAAAAGGTATTTTTCTATAATGGAGATTACATTTACATAACTGAATATTTGTTTTCAATTTTAAAGCATTAAATAGAAAAAGGCGACCCTTGAGATTCTAAATATCCAACGGAGAAGTTTATAACTATAATACTTTTGACAGCATAAGCCGAAAAAGACGAAAATTTCCTTAGCTATGTCCATCACTGGTGTGCTTACCCTAATCTGTCTAATTAAATATTGATTAATACCAGCGCAAATGTTTATGTAAGCCTTACCGATACTATTGGAACCAGTGCTTATTTAGCCGATTATATAAAATATTAAGCACGTGTTACGTACGGTGCTCTAGGCAAGAGGTCTTCAAACGTTTTGGCCCGCGGGCCACATCCAGACTTCAACTAAGTTGCTCGGGCCGTATTGGGACTTCCACAGAAGTAAGTGATGATAAAAAATATTTTGTTTTATAAATGTCAATTCAGCTGTGGAATGAGCTATGAAAAAAAATATATACATATGCAATAAATGTTGTAATAACATCGTGTGTGAGTAATTTACTAAATTTCAAATTTTGAAATAGTTTTTGAAATTTTACGATCTCATTAAGCCTTCTTTGGTTCTCGGTTCCGTATGTCTAGTCCTTACTTTTCTTCTAGTTAATTAATAAATTCTTTCATAGTTTATATTTAACCATGTTTATAACCATTCACAATGTGAAACGGTTAATTATTTTTTTCTGTAATAAACAAAAATAAAGGTATTATAGGGAAATGACATTTTGAAAATTCTGCAGATGAAGGCCTTTCAGAAAAATTCATTGAGGATAATGCCTACCTGATATTAAAAGCCACTTAATTTTTCATTGATAAAACGAATTTAATTAAAATGGTTCGAGTCATTTTCGTGGAAATCGTAAAATCGTAAATTAAATGAAGTGTTATTTCCGGGAGGTCGAATTTGGTAAACAACTCGCTATAATATCACAGGCCTATACATACCCTACTTACTTAATTACTAAATTTGTTATATTTGTATGTTGTGAATGAAATCTCATTATAAATAATTATTGGGCTTACTGGGACAGAATTTTATGCTCCTCTATATAATTGTTCGAAGTATACAGGGTGTTTCAGGGTTAAGAATTTTAGTTGTTATGAATTATTTATGTTAACTGAAATAAATAAAATCTATTTATTTGTTACTAATTTATTAATTAAATGTAAATATTAACATTTTTATTAAATTTTAATCATTCAAATCAATGGATTGGCCGTGCAGTACCAGTGGCTTGGCCTGCATGCTCTCCAGACCTGACCACAGGATTTTTTGTTTGGGGTAAAATTCAACAAAAAGTCTATGCAAGTCCGGTCAATGACCTTTATTCCTTACGAAGAAGGTTAATTGAATCTTGTGAAACAATAACAAATATCCAGTTATCCGTTCTGCCATTGCTGTAGTTGAAGAAAAATGCCGAGCCTGTCTTAATGCTCAAGGAAATCACTTTGAACAACATTGAATATGAATTTAATGTTATCGTTTAATTAATAAAATAGTTGGTACAAATAAATAAGTTTTATTTACATAATATAACATAAATAATTAATAACAACCAAAATCTTTAAATGTGAATATCTTCTAAACAAAGCGTTTGCGGACAAACCTTCAGAGGAAATTTTTTTTTTGTCCTTAGTTCATTCTTACAGTTTGTCCACTTAACCCTGAAACACCCTGTATATTATTACATTTTCGTACGACTTTTCGTTTTCACGCTAGGCCGTTCACATAAACAAATAGACACACACACATAGCTTAGGGAACTTAATTATATTTGTTCAGAGGACTTCAAAACGTCCATTACCGTTTAAAATCGAATTCGATTTTTTTTCGATCAATTTTTTATCAATAGAGGGCATTGTTCATTAATTTAGAAAGAAATGAACCTTTAAATCAACAAGGAAGCTTATTATTTACGTTTAAAATCCAACAAATCCCTAACTGGTGGGTTCACTCTAATTATTTATCTATAGAAATTTTAATTTAAAAATTTCATTATACTTATGTCTCTATAAAGATTTTTGTGCTTTGAAAAGATCCTTCCAATTTTTAGGTTGTAAGGCACGTGGATATCCCCGGAGACGAAACGTTCTCGATGAATTGATGAGCTGATAAGAGTTTTAGAATCTGTTCTTAAGCTACTAAAAATCAATGGGGTATTTCCTTCGAGAAGGTGTCGATAGGTCAGCCTGGTGGTTCATTCTTGGGGGCCTCGGTCGAGTATCTTCATAAACATTTTTCATATTGTTATTTTTCGAAATCTTGGAGTATAAGTGGTAGCAGGCTTTTAGCATAGGTTTAGAAGCGTTGACATTGTATAACACCGTATTGGGTACACGAAGTAATTTTTATTTAAAGAAATAATGGATTAAATGTTGTAATTCTTTACTTATTTATGAATTACAGAATGATTTCGGTAACCTGTGCTTTTACAACCCATTGAGTAGTATAGTATAGTAGTAGTAGTGCTCTATAAGGGAGTACAGATGCATGACCAACGGTTGTGGAGCATCTGATTGGGCCAATATTACTCTAAACGGCCAGGTACTCCTTAATTAATTACTGTAAACAAGTGTTACTCTGGGCCTCGGGGGGTATAATAATGTCTGAGAGCATTGCAATTATAATGCTAACGATTGTTATGTTCCTTGGAAACCAGATCAAAATGGTGTTTTAATAAATTGTTAGGAGGGGTTGTTAAATGTAAGATGTATAATGTTACTTCGTTTGTTAAATGTTGATGTTATTAGGGTTTTACTAAAAAAAGTAAATTAAAAAAAATGAATAGGAACCATACTAATGGTTTTAGTCGTTTAAATTCTTGGACCAGTATCCAATCCTTACAATCCAAAACCCTCTTTAAAATCCTGAATGCTCCTTATTAGGTAACAAATAAAATAATCCATAAAGACCTCAACATTCCTCTTACGGAAGACTTGGCCCGAACTAGATATACCTTTTTTCATTCCAAACTCTTTGGTCACCCCAACCCTCTAGTTTGTAACCTTTCATCCAACGCAATTTCTGAAAAACCTCCGAGGCGTCTGAAAAGAAGAACGCCAAGAGACCTCCTAAATTAATTGTTACCAATGGGTAGCTTCATGACAAGTACCTATATGTAATATATTCCTATATCAAATTTACTGGTTGTATATTTGTTTACAGTTGTAAATTTCAATAAAATAATAAATTAAAAAAAATTCTTGGATAGTTAAAAAAATTCAAATATCAAGATAGCATCCATTTGCTAGTGTAATGTCCTGTTGGTGCTTCTTAGAAAAATATTTACTCTCACATTGAATAATCGTTGCTTGTGTAGCTAATGTCGATTATGGCCAAACTCGATTGTAGACATAAGTATTTAGTTATCAGTGGGGGGTTAGGGGCGCAGAGGGGAGGGCGGTGGTGGGGCAGGGTGGGGTAAATTCAATATGAAAGAGACTTTAGCGCCCCTGGCGGTCCCGCCCAGTCGAGGGTCGGGATGGGAGCAAGTCAGAGCCTGCAGACGGCCCGCCTGGCGATGGAACCGGTAACACTGTGAAGCAAACACCCTAAACACCAGAGCACCAAACACCGGCATGAACAAACCCCAAAACCCAACCCAAACCACCAGACAGCATGACCAAACCAGAGAGATTGCTACCAAACCCTAAACCCTGAAACTCTAGTCACCTCCAACAACGTATCCGCATCTCCAATGCAGAGAGAATTTTTTTTCTCTCACATCGAACCTTAAAAAAAATCTAAATAAGTAATTCTAAATTTCAATTCAAATTTATAACCTAAATATTTGTAATATAAATAATACTGGAAAATAGAAGGGAAGATATACTTCATCTAAAAAGTATCCTAATGTAACTTAAACCTAGAAAAACTATCTTGATAACGGAATATATCTTTCATTCTAATTTCATTTGAATTAATAAATTTGTAATCTAATTTGTAAAAACTTGTTATAACTTTTATTATAAACTAAATATATTAAAAGAATTTTCTTTAAAAATTTTCCTATTTTCCTAATCCCAATTGGTGAAATGTGGTCCATGATAATGTGAAGTTAGCCTTGTTATAATTATTGTGCATATGATAGGATAAAGTAATATGAAAGCATGTGACCTACTTAATGCAGGTTGTTATAGATTTTATTTAGTTGTTATGATGAAATTAAGCAGCTGACTCATCCATTAATTTAGTTTGAAATTTCTTTCGAATCCACTTCATTTTATAAAATCATATATTTCAGGATTTATATATCACGATATCGCTTTATCGGATTCCCATAACAGTATATATATATATCGAAATATCATCGGTAATGTTTAAGAGGGAATGTGATCTTCGATAATTTATGACCACTTGATAGATTAAAATAATTTTATTTCGTACTGTTTTCTATACTTATAGTTATACGAATTTATTATAATTATAAATCAGTTAGGTACGATTGAAATTGGTTTTCATAATCCCGAAATTAAAATGAACAATAGCAATACGATTTTTTTAAAAATTAAATATTTTTTTTAGTTCGTTCAAAATGTTCTAATTTCATAAAGTAAAATCAGATCGAGTGTAGAACGTTATCGCACTATGTAACTACTTGGATAAAGTTGGAATATATGTCCATTGTTTGGAAGTTAAATTTATAATTAATAGCTATAAAATGTTTTTTTATCAATCCAGCATCTTACATATAGGGAAATCTTTAAATTGAATTTTTATATTAAAAAATAAATGTGATGTAATATTGTCTGAGGCTGTACTTGAATGGTAAATAATAAATTAAAATTAGTTTTGCAGGTTCTTGAAAATGGCTCCTGAAGCCGAAACGTTGAATAAAACATACAGGAAATAAATAAAACTGTGTTTTTTTGGTGACCTATGGCCTAAAATAGACATATGATAAATTATGAGAAAATGGCACCAAACCCGAAGGATGTGACTAGAAAATGTGATACCTTTGCATATACGTTTTATTATTATTATTATTTTTTTTTTTTGTTTAATCCATTTTATTAGGAAAATACTTTTTAAACATATCGAATATTCATTTTTTCATGTCCTTTAGAATTCACTGAAAATAAAAAAAGTTACATATGTGTATGCCCATATAATTAGTTTATATCTTCCTTAAAAATTAATTAACTCATTCTGCATGTAATAAAAACTGTTTTAATACCATTCGTGAAATTGAAAAAAAAATACTACCTGTTATTAATATTTAAAAAAAAAGTATATATATATATGCCCTGATGAAAAAATTAAATTTAAAATTTCTGCAACAATAATATTTCTATTATATTTGCACCGTATTTTTTTAAACGTTGTTCTATTACGTTTATAGGTTTGACAGTATATATCTTTTCACAGTATATAACCATCATTCCATCAAAAGGAAAGATATATTACTATATCTGATTAATAAATAAACCATTAAAAACACAATAGTGCTATAAATATGTTGTATATCTTGTTTAATGAATTTTGTTTTAGATTATACTATGTCCCAGAAAAATACTTTGACATAAATGATTTGAAAAAAAACAACGTATTTTGCTTAGTGTTGCTATGGTTGGGAAGTTCCATGTTTCAATAGGAATGTCTGATAATTCATTAAATGAAGATTATTATCTTAATAATAAATTTTATTTGATTTTTAAGAGGACGTACTACTCATCATACTTCTATGCTCCCGTTATCATACTAGTAATATGGCAGTTGATAAATTCCCTTTGATCTACCTAGGCAGGAGTTATTTATGTTATTGACCAACAGTCGGCTTCTTAGAGTACTCCTCAACCCATTAGAGAAGATACATAAGTGTTAGTAACCAGAAGGACCTAAGTTTCGGTTATAGCATGGTTTTAAAGGAAGTTGAATTTATGTATTTATTGTCTTACTCATGATGAAGAAACAAAAACTTAATGACCTCGCTAGGGAGGTGCTAGATCTAAATTGTTGTCAAACATTTTATTCGAAAACATTCTTAAATTTCATAAGCATGAATTCAGTTAAAAAAAGTAAATTCGTATCATTAAGTAAAAGCTTGAAGGATAAGATATATCAAAATAAGAAGTAATATTCATAATATAACATGTAATAAAAATTATTGATGTTTTGTGCTTTTAATTTTTTTTTGTTAATATCACGCCAAAAAACGAAATGAGTAAAATTATTATAACATAATAAATTATCTGGTTATCGGTGATACAGCATAAGTATTAATTACAATTATTTATTATTTAAAAAAAAAGTTCACAATTTAATTACTATTATAATCATAATTACTATTATAATAGTATTAAATTTTATAACATAATTCATTCAGAAGACAATGAGATACTCCAAACTACTCAGAAACATAACTAAAAGACGTTATCAACTCCTGTGTATCAGGCCAAGAGATCTTAAACCAGCATCATGGAGAAAGCCGGCTTTTGATGATTACGGTTGTTACAGAATTCGTGCATTATCTCTAATCAGTATAATCCAGGAAGGCACAAGTCCTTTTGTTGAAGAAAGTTTGGAAAAATATTAACGTGAATAACGGGGCTGTGTTTTACAACACTTCAAAATAATTTTACAACATTTTTGTAGGAATATTGAAAAGTAGAATACTGAAATCTCTCAGGTTAAAATTAAATTTTAACCTAATAACATCATGATAAATAAATAAACATGATTATGACTAAATATGTTGTTAAGATACCCTAATGCCCAAAATAAAATAACTTTCAAAATAAAAAAATTAACAGAAAGGCTTCGTCACTATGACAAAATTTTCTTCTAATTTTTGTTTGCAAATCAAAAATAGATTTAATTGTTAATGTTCATCTGAGGAAATCGAATCGAATGTCAAAAGCAATTGATTTCAGACACAAGGTCAATTTACATACAAATGACCAAATCTCATGCTCAATTTTAGACGGCTGTGAAGTTGCACAAAACTTTGAAATCGAAATTGCGAGACACATTGTTCAAACATCTTAATAAACCCATTTTTGAAGAAATGTATAAGGGGAAAAATATCTGTCTTTTTATAAAATTACAAATATCTATCGGACCAAGGCCCAGAGAATCCTGTTCGAGAAGTTCTAAAACGGATATATTCGATATAGTACAAGAGTCTATTATTTCAGAAAAATACAACAAGAAATTAATTTTGCGGTACTATTGATACCATGGTCTTTATATTGGCAAGTTTTTTTTTCCAACTGTTTTCATTAGATTTGTGTTTATTTATTTTCTAATTAATGATTATTGTTGCACCACAGTAAATACAATTTTCAAGCAAATATTTTATCTGTAGTTACATTTCAGATAATATTCATGCCACCATCGAAGGTTAGTACGAATTGATACGTATTGGATCTAATATGTTCATTCTTCACACAAGAATATTTTAACATTTAACAATGTTCGCATGAAAGTAATTGTGAAATTTTTAATTGAAAATACCAATAATCTTGGCAATATAAATTGATTAATAATAAGAGATTAACATATAACAGTTTTACAAAAAATAATGTGCAATATTGCTTCTGACATAATAAGTTCCTTGTCGAAAATAGCAATTAGGTAACTTAAACTGAAAATGAAATTCTATTTATATCATTGTGTTATTTGTATAGCACATTTAGTTCTTGTGTATTTAATAATAATAGACAAAAAGAAACATTGTATTATTTTATAACATATAATATTATTATACTTGAAATTGGAAGGTAATATTGTTGGTCTGTCTATTAGAACCATTCAGTATTTCATGATAAATGGATGATTCATTCAGGAATGATTATTTATTCGGTTCATTAAATTTCTTTTAAAAATAGCGGTTATAGTGATAGTTTATTGTTATAAATAACAAGATATAAATTTTTTGAGCAAACATTTATTTCATGATTTATATTCTTTTATTATATCGTCTTAATTTCTTTTGCAGTTTATCGGTTTATATTATTTTACTGACACTGCAATCGATTACAGTTTAAATTTAATATAGTGTACCCATTTGACATGTGTATCATTATAGAAGAATTATTGATATTATTTAGGCCTGAAAAGTTTATACTAGTATAGTTACTATTTATTCTTCTCAGGATAATTTATATCAATTTTCTAGAAAAAGAAATCAAGAAAATTTAGGAGCTATATTTCAAATCTATTTATTAAAATGTATTAGTAAAATTTAGTTAATGTATTGGGTTTGTAAATAAGTCCTTCAGGTTTTTCAGAGTGAAATAACACTCAATGTATAATTGACATAACATTTATTTTAATCTAAAATATATTGAATATTATTTAATATGGCTTTTTTCCATGTTTCCACTTACTGCATAATGCCATTTTCATACAATTTCTGGAGTTTAGTATTAAAAAACTGATCCAAGTGTTTTTTTTTTATATCTTCTTCCTTTTGGAATTTCTTTCCATTGATGGAGTTCTGCAGAGACCAGAATAAGTAGTAGTCACTTGGTGCTATGTCTGGTGAAGAGGAAGGGTAGGGCGAAGGTCCCTAAGGTGGGAGGGACCTAGCGTTGTCTTGGTGGAACACAACACTTTTCCTATTTGCCAGTTCTGGGT